TTGGGGACAGTTGGGGGGCTTTGGGGGGCACTGGGTGATTACTGAGGGATACTGGGACACACTGGGGGGAACCAGGGGGCACTGGGAGGGACTGGGTTGTTACTTAGGGATGCTGGGAGGGCACTGGGAGGGACTGGAGGTGAACTGGGGCACACTGGGGGGCACTAGCAGAGAACTGGGGAGGTACTGGGGGATTACCAGGACACACGGGGGGACACTGGCAGGTTACTGGGCCATGCTGGGGGTTACTGGGTGCTCACTGGAGGATCACTGGGCCATACTGGGGGGCAGTGAGAGGTCACTGGGATACATTGGGTGGTCACTGAGAGGGTTACTGGGCCATAATGAGAGTGACTGGGAGGTCATTGGAATATACTGGGGACAATGATATCCCCTTACCCGGATGTGGTACATCTCCCCCCCCTGGATTTTGGGGGCCATCCCTAGCACCTCTCCCCTGGGGTTCGGGGGACTCCCTGAACCCCAAGGCTGGGCTTTAGGGGATCCCCCCAAATCCCCTCAAAACCTCTGAAATCTCCTCAGAAATCCACCCCTGGACTCGTCGAAACCTCCTCAAGGTCCTCCCAAATCCCCTCAGAGACCTCATCCCTCCCCAGGACCCCCTAAACCCTCTCAGTGACCCACAAAACCCACCTGGGACACCCCAAGCCCATTTAGGGACCCCTCCAGTCCCCCTCAGGGACCCTTAAAACCGTCTGGGACACCTTAAACCCCCTAGAGACCCCAAAAGTGCCTAAAAGGTCCCCACAAAATCTCTCCAGGATCCCCAAACCTCCTCAGAGCCTTCCAAAGCCCACTGGGTGATTACAGGGGATACTGGGGCACACTGGGGGGAACCAGGGGGCAGTGGGAGGGACTGGGGGGGAACTGAGGGATGCTGGGAGGGCACTGGGAGGGACTGGAGGGGAACTGGGGCACACGGGGGGGCATTGGCAGAGAACTGGGGAGTTACTGGGGGATTACCAGGACACACGAGGGGACACTGGCAGGTTACTGGGCTATACTGAGAGTCATTTGGAGGTCATTGGGATATACTGGGGGGCAGTGGGATCCCCATATCCAGATGTGGTACATGTGTCCCCCTCTGGATTCTGGGGGGCACCTCAAGGCCCCTTCTCTTGGGGGCTGGGGACCCCCTGCACCCCACTGCTGAGCTTTAGGGGACCCCCACAATCCCCTCAAAACCTCTGAAATACCCTCCGAAATCCACCCCTGGACCCGTCGAAACCTCCTCAAGGTCCCCTCAAATCCCCTCAGAGACCTCATCCCTCCCCAGCACCCCCTAAACCCTCTCAGTGACCCGCAAAACCCACCTGGGATCCCCCAAGCCCATTCAGGGACCCCCCCAGTCCCCCTCAGGGACCCTCAAAACCGTCCGGGACACCTTAAACCCCCCAGAGACCCCAAAAGTGCCGAAAAGGTCCCCTCAGAGCCCCCCAGGAACCCCAAACCTCCTCGCAGACCTCCAAAGCCCACCGTGGACCCTTCAAAATCTCCTCAGAAACCAAACCGCCCTCAGAGACCCCCAAACCCCTTCAGGGACCGTCAACCTTCCCCGAGTCCCTTCAGGGACCCCTCAAAACCTCCTCGGGAACCCCCGAACTCCTCCGCTAAGCCTCCACGAGACCTCCAGCCCTTCCCCCCCCAGCCGCGCTCCCCGCAGCCCCCGAGGGGACCCCCAGACCCCGCTCTCCCGCACCCCCCGCCAGCTCTTACAGCACAATGCGGGCCCCGCCGCCATCACCGATTCCCGGAAGTCAACACGGCGCTCTGCGCGCGCACCGCCTTTAGAGAAC